TTGGTAGGCTCATACTTGTTAAAATGTTAAAATATGTCCACACCAAATTATTTAAATACCTATTGCTCCAAGCCCTCTGAGTGTCTATGGCCAACCCTGCTATCACAGTCCTCCCGTAAGATTCCCCAAACTGACACCAAAGACTCGGCGCCATACTAGTCGTGCACTTATAGGACGCAACTACAGGGCCGTGACTGGCGTCAACTCTGATTGGTCTGTGCCATCCTATCACTGCTGGTAAACGTTCTGAATGCTACAACAATCTAAAGATAATGTGAAGTTCCAGGGAGACTTTCTCCTCTCAACTGGAATCTAGCTGGGCCTTTGCTGCCAACCCACTCTGTAAGCATAAGGAAGGCAACACTGCTTCATAATCATCTAGTTGGAGTCAAGAAGAACCATGCTAATAAACAAACAAAGCAACCCTTCCTTCCCTAAGCTTGTCACAAAGCCAAAGATAAATTACTTTTGGTTGTTGCTGCCTCTTCTATACTAGACTGTAAAATGGAGAGTTTATGTAGCATATGAAATGGAGAATTTACTAAAATAGTTTCTCCTTTTTTTTTTAGCCCAGATTATATTTACCGCTAACACCTGGAAAGTGATCTTGGGTTTTCTTATTCTATTATTAGTGGAAAGACTGTGCAACTCAAGCACCACCAACCTGAATTTAAATGTCAGCAAGATCTTAAATATATGACCTTGGACAAGTCACATGTCTCTTTGAGCTTCAGATAACAATAATTAGCTCAAAGGTGATTGGCAAGATTAAGTGAAGTCATTCGTGGGAAGGTTTTATGGGTACATATAAGGTCCTCAGTACATCTTATGGTGTATTATGAGTTATTATATTATGAGTACTTATTGCTTTGACTTGCTTATGTTAATATATAGTGAAGCTCTGACAACATTCCTTAGAAAACAGAGACTAAATGTATGTGATGTTCTCGGTGTAGTAATTAATAATAACATACCCATAAAGGTTTTCTCTGATACTAAAGTTACTGCTTCTGCTGATGATTTTTGTTCAAAGATATTCATTTCAAAGTCCTTGAACAGCTCCCTAATATTAAAACTCTAGAGGTGATTTCTCTTGTCTAACTTCAATCCTATATGCTGCAATTTCTACTTTGAACTATAACATTCCCATAACAGAGAGAATTCTCTCCTACTTTATTTGGTTGTAGTCAGATTCCAGAACGCTTGACAGATTGTGGAGAAATATTTGGGGAGTGAAATTCTAGCGAAANCCACCAACCTGAATTTAAATGTCAGCAAGATCTTAAATATATGACCTTGGACAAGTCACATGTCTCTTTGAGCTTCAGATAACAATAATTAGCTCAAAGGTGATTGGCAAGATTAAGTGAAGTCATTCGTGGGAAGGTTTTATGGGTACATATAAGGTCCTCAGTACATCTTATGGTGTATTAT